AGCAAACAGACGCATACATTCGAGAATAAAAAAATGATTTCGTAGCGAAACGCGTCACTCATAAATTACTACGATCAACACGATTATAATTCTATTTATTACTGTTATCAAGTAAACTACACTTTTAGAATGCCGATTGACTAAAATATAAAAGCGAACATACTTTACGTATTCTTTAATGTGCGTTATCGGTAATATAAATAAGCTTCGCGGAATGCGCGATGGCTACTCGTCGTTCGAATGCAGAAATCGTCCGCAATGCAACTTACGTTGAAATAAATCGTACAACCGGAAAGAGAAAACCAAACGATCTTATTTAATTTGCAAGTAAGTTCGATAGAATCTGACGACTGACAATTGAGTTAGCAGCATGAATAATGCATCGTTCAACTTTATCGTTCTTGTTGCGATTGCTACTGTGTGATTTTCCATGTTTACGCATAAAACCCGCAATTTCGTATTTATGGAGAATTGATACAGTTTGATAAGAGTTACTATTTATGAAAATTATGCTGCATGTGACATAATTGTGATGGAAGCATTGATATCATATCTTTGGACTTTAAATTGATTGCATGTAAAATTTTTTTTCCTTTTAGTCTTTGTTACAATTGATTTATTTATATTTATTATAATAATTAACTTTGTGCTACGCGTAGATTTAATAATATTGAGTCTTCTATTTTTCTATAGAAAGAAAGATTTCCTGAGGTATTTAAAAATTTAGATAAATCTGAAAATAATTTTATTAAACCGTCAAAATAATTATGTAAGACGTTCAAGCTGATTGCTTGAATGTCAAAACTGTTTACAGCATTGCTTGAAATTGTTATGTAATTATTTAGATGGTCAAACAAATTTATTTTCAGATCTGTATCTAGCTAATTTTTTTTTTATATTAAAAAAATGTTTTCTTTCATGTATGTGTAATATTTAATTATATAGAATAAATAATATAGATAAATTAATATTTTAACTATAGTAAATACCGGAAGAAAGTAAACTTATGTGAAAACTGATTGTTGAGCAAGCAATGATAGAGATATTTATATTTTTTCTTTGCAACCACTTATTCATCAAAAATTGAAAAAAAAAAACAAATTATACGATTTGTTCAGTTGATGCGATAGATTGTGACGATAATCTGTTTTGTGCAGAACCACGTTAACATATTAAATACATAAATTAAGCCACCATTATAATTTTTTGTTTTTCAATGAAATATACGTAATAGAGTTTCCGTACATATTACTTATATTTCTTTTGTATTATTTTTTGATAAAATTTTACAAGCGAATATTTGTTTGCTATACACTGTATTACCATAATATCGGAGATTCCGAAAGTCCTTTGCCGAATTGTTACTCGAAACGAACAGTGCGAATCTTTAAAGAGTTGGCAGACTTTTTATACTGGTGGCTTTTAAGAGGTGGATATTTGGGTCAGGATATGTACGTGAGAAGTGATATTGTCCGTATGTCATGCGTCCAAGAAATTTCCATCCAAGAAACCGAACAGTTCGTTTTTATTCGTGATAGTATTTAACCAGACACATAGATGTGCGTCATTATATAGATCGCAGAAGAGGAAGGCAGAAAATTAATCTATAATATATTTCTGTGCGCAATGGTGCGAGCAATTGTTATATAATATAATAAGAAATTAAAGACTTTTTTTTTTTGTCTATTGTTAAATTTACATATTACGTTTGAAAAGAAATTGTCAACAGATTAAAATTAATACCTATGATTCAAGCTATCGTGAATACAATTATAATTATTAAAGGATAGATATAATATGCGCATATAACAAAGAAAAAAGCAGATCAATAAAAATATACATATACATATAAAAAACTGGAAATTTATAAATAATACTATAATGTAATATTTCTAATGATACTCTTATTATATATATTAAAATAATATTTATTAAATTATAAATTAATTTGTGCGGTGGGGAGGGATGATTTTCGTGAATGACTCAAAGGAAAAATAATCTTATCACTCGAAGTATTTAAATGAACTGATGCTGATTTAATATTCAATACCTATACATAATGGATGATTTTATCGTGTGAGTAGATCTTTCAGTGTTAAATTTTTTATTCTTTTATATAGAATAAAGAGATTTGAATAATTGATTACACGGTGAAATGCTGATTCATAAAAAATATTCTTATCAAAGAATCGTTTATTACAATGTTTAACACATTTCTTAATATCTTTTTTTTAATAATGTTCCCGCGCAAAACTCAATTCTCGAAGAAAACAATTCTTTACACCGAAAATTCTAAACGATGGCAATTAGCCAACAGTCCTTGACATACTTGCGCTCATTGAATACTAATGTGTGTATCGCAGTTTTCCTGGAATAATCCTAAACATTATCTAAATGCAAATCACAATTTCAAAAACCAGTTTCACCGGTGTTGCACTATAATCTCTTAATGAAATTGGGAGCCACTTTTTTTAGAGAGAATTAATTTTAAGAAAAGTGTAGTGAAATGTGACATAAGGTTTTAAATTAAAAGTTTCAAATAAATCAAATTTTTATTTGTAAATTGACGGAAAATATTTTCTAAATTAATTAGAATAATAAATCTTAATTTAGAAGAAAGTAAGGTATGGGATTAACAGAATATTTAACAAATGCGTAAAAATTTACAATAAAATATAATTTTTATTAGATTATTATTTGAGAAAAGTATTAATTTTATTTTATTTTAATTTTTTAGAACTTAAATAAATATCCAAGTAATAATATCCAACATATATGTAAAAAATAACACATTATATCATATATGAAGAAATCTTATGTATATAATTATATATATAATTATAGTTTTGAAATATTTGCGATTAAGGCACAAATTATTTATACTAATTTTTACACTTAGGTTGGATTTTTTCAATTTATTTTACATGTAATGTGACACTTTACAGATATTATTATTACCTATTGTTCTTATACGGACTTTCGACTTTTTTAATTTGACTATTATAAGAACTTCCAATGTATTAATTTGACTATTCCAAGACAATTACAATATTTAACAAAATGAAGACTGCATTACTTTATATCTGAAATGAAGACTATGTTAAATTTTATAAATTTTGTATGCATAAAGACTACGTTAAATTTCATAAATTTTGTATACATATTCATATTTAATTTTTGTGAACATTGATAATGACCCCCGATCGGTGTCGAAACGTCTGTTGAGATTGTTGATATTTTTATTTTATTTTTATTTTGTATTGTCTTTATTGAATTTGTAATGTTTATTAATTTGAATTAAAGTGTCTTTGTTAATTGTCAATATTTAGCTCTTGGTCCTTCTTTTATTTTGTATGTCTCTTATGTATATAATTATTATTATTTTAAAACGTGTGTTTTGATTTATAAATGCGAGATTAATTATACGTTAATATTAATTTTATATACGTCATTGATATGTTGATTAATTTTTTTATGTGATTTCTAATTACGATTGTTCCGTGAATCTAATTATTAGTAATCATCTAATTATTAGTAAAAACTACGCGTATAATGAAAAAACAAATTATTAGGCTGATCAATTACGTCAAAACAATTCTACGTATAACTTTTTACTAAGTATAAGTTTTTTCCATTTTGAATAATTAAGTAATTGACAACAAAAAATTATAAATGCTTGGTCAACAACAATTATAGAACTGGAATGTTTCTTACAAAAGTAATTTAGAATAATTAAATTAAATTATAAAAATATCCTATATGTTTTGTATACATTTACATACATATGTTTTTACAATATAATATAAAAATATAATCTAATCTTATATATATAGAGGAAGTATATAATAAAATTTAAAATATATATATACAATACTACCATGGTATGTAAATATTGTATTACAAATGTATGTAAATAATTTAACATCATGCAGTCTGAGTCCAAATTAAAATTATTTTTAATATAGCATCATTCTATTAAAATTATTTTGTACCAGAAATATATACTAACAACTTAACAATAATATATAAACATTTTTTGTACGCATATTTATTATAACATACATTATTTTCCAAATTATGGTTTATTTTTTCTGTTATTAACCATCAAATACTTTTAAAATCTTAACGAATGAATATGTCTAATTAAATTAATTTGCGTTAAAAATTATTTTATCGCAAATGAACAACATTACTGGTGTTATGTTGTTATCTCCTTTAAATAACAATATAAATAACAATAATTGATACTTACAAATATATAAATTTGAATTGTTTGTAATAAGGCTCAATAAAGTTTTTTAAAATTAATATAGAGAAACAGGACAATGAGCCAATAAACTCGTTAAAATCTTTAAATTATTCTAATATATTGCGAAGAATATCACGTAATTTTGGCGTTTCGTCCCGGCTTCCACTACTGAACTCATCAGTAAGGCATTGTAGTGGAAGCCTACCTTAGACACCTGGGAGAGTTATTCAGTCGAGATTCTATATGAAGAGATATACGCGTGTCACAAAACACTTACGAGAATTTGCGAATATCAATCGACCTCTGATGGCGGGTCGACGTAGTAATATTCTTCGCAATATTTATTCAAAGTAAGAATAACGCCCCATTAACCAATATATGTAGTCCCTCCAAATTGCGCGCCGAACAATCGTCGGTCTCGAAACGCAACTCTAATAATCTGAAAAGTCTCCCCAATATAAGTTTGAGCTTATTGTGGAATGAAATTTCACAAATTCTAAGGGCTGAGCACAAGCACTGCCGTAACATTTTACGATTTACTTAAGTTGTAGACGTAAATAACGCACAAGCTTTGGCGTATCGGCGTATGACTCGTTTATGTACATTATTGCCATATCTTTCGATAACGTGCATAAACACGTCATACGCCGATACGGCAAAGCTTGTGCGTTATTTACGTCTACAACTTAAGTAAGTCGTAAAATGTTACGGCAGTGCTTGTGCTCAGACTCTAAGTTGTAATATTACGGCTATAAATTATCCATTGAATAAAACGATGTATGTGATGAGCAATGCATTATGTATGTAAGGCAGGTACGATCTCTCTATTCGTTTGCTATATTACTCGACGAACTAGATTTAGTAGTGTTTGAAAGAGATGGAGCCACAACCTCAACATCAATGTAATCTTGTTGCTCAGTTGCATGCTTGGACCATGATGAAAACTGAATCAATCTAAAAAAAAATATTCTTTAAAATTGGATTATTCGAACATAATTAAAAAAAGCATCACAGTTCGTTAATAAATTGTTATTCAAGAGAAAAAATGATGAAAAAATGTCCAGGAAAATTATAATTTACTTACAGAATTATTAAAAGCACAGCAATCTGCGTGGCAAATGTCAACCAATAAAAGGAGTTTGGTGCTGTCTTTATCGTCGCGTTGTAAAGTTGGGAATATAAAATACCGCTAAATAGCGGAACTGCGTTATCGCATACGGAAAGCATCGCGAATACCTTCCCTGAAAAATCAGGACAATGCAATTATCCTATTTTTCTCTCTCTAAAAATCTTTGGAATGATTTCTAACTTTAAAGAATAAAACCTTATTCTTAAAAATTGACAATTAAGTCTTTTGCAACATTAACGCAATTGTTAGTTTTTAGATTCCACTTCAAAAATTTTAAAGAGTTGTTACAATGAAAAAGAAAAATTACCAACAAAATTGAAACTGGTGTTCAATGATATTCGATTTAATATGAAAATGATATCCCTTATTCATGAAAATTCTGATTCTAGTATAAAGTATATACACATTATTATAACGCACCTCGTTCCTCTACAGATACAAGTTTCGAGGTCATAGATCTGAGTACTGGAGCTATTACTGGTCCTAACGCAGCGACAGTAGCACCTACAAAATAATTATTATAAATTAACTTCTAATTACTTTATTATCTGAATATAAATGCGTATAATATTTTATTTAAAAAACTTGAATAATAATGACATAGTATAATATATTCATTGTTCAAAATTTGATTGATATAGATATAATTGAGAAAGATCGTGTTACTTACCCACATAAAATAATTTTGGCTGATTTGCTAAAACAAATACTACTCTTCCAGCTGCGTGCGCTACTGCTCCAACCATTATGATGAAAGTGTCCTTCATTCTTATTAATTTACTCATGATAGGCACTCCAATGAGCATTGCTGTGAGAGAACAAAATTCTTTTAAGTTCTTCGTACTTTATATTTTTAATAGTATTTAAAATATTTATGAGGATAATTATGTAATCAAAATATTTTTATGAGGATAAGGATATTATTATATTTATATTTTATTCTTATAATCTATATGACAGTATTGGGATCTAAATTTATTAATTTATTTGAAATATTTATAATTATAAAAATGCGCTAATTAAAAAAAATTTGAATATTTATATATATAAAAATAACTTAAAAAAAATTTCAAATCCAATTACGACGTAATAATAATTTATCTTATGAATTCTATTAAACAAAAAATTGCCCTTTTTACAAGATCGATTTCAATTTCACAATAGAATTATAATTTCTCTATTATCGTTAGTAATCAAAATCAATTAGATGAAAGTGAAAGTTTTCGCAATTTCGAGAAGAAAGTTCTCCTTTCACTCGCGTCGCTAAAAACACATTACGGATTGATATTGTCAAGATTTGTAAATATATACTATACTAATTTGAATCAAGTCTACGTTAAACTGACCTAATACAAAAAGAGTCGATTGGAACGTCTTAAAATTGCTAAAATCCATCACATTCCAGTTAAAGATTAGTGAGGTATACATCTGACTCTTAGCCTTTTCATCTCTCTGGAATGTATAAAGACACATCGCCAGCAGGAGCAACCACAGGTGTAATTTGCCATGATTGAGCCTCGACTTCAACAATGTTCGCATTGTCATAGCGACATGTCTCATGTCGAAGAAGTCTAGCAGCCAATTATTGCCCGAAAGTGGTTGCTGTCGTGGTGACGTTTGCCATTTAAGCCACACAAGCGAATATATAATCGCTATTAAGAGCAAAGTCGTGTTTACAGCAAACATAATCGTGTAGGACATGTTAACTAGATGTGTAAATACGTACGATCCAAATGCAACTCCTGCAAACGAAAAGAATTATTTAAACGTTACAGGATTGCAAAAACTTTTATATAACCACAGATATATTCGTAAAATGAAAGTAGTAAAAACCAATCTTATCAATGTTATCATCGACGATCCATTAATTTTAATGGTTAACAAATCGTTTATAGAAAAAAATAAAGTTTTATAACATATTGAAAATTTATATTATAATATTTTTTTTAAATAAAATTTATTTACTATATAATTTCGTTTTATGATAATTAAATTTTACAACAAATACTCAATGTTTATTATAAAAATTCTTTTTTCTGTAAATGACTTTTGAGTCATTAAAATTAATGGATTATCAATGATAATGTTGACAACATATTTATCTCAGTGATACAAAAGTCCAGAGGACGTCTTAAAAATTTATAATCTTTATTTAAGTTAAAGTTATTTTTAATAATTGTTCAAATAATTTATATCCTTGAAAAATTATTTTGAGAGTATTTGTCCCTACCCGAAGGCATGGTACTGAGATAAACGATATCCAGGATCGTGATTCTCATAGTTCTCTGTTGTACGGAGCTTATGTCAGATATGTACGCGAAACTGCTACCGAAGATTGCGACATCACTACCCAGTATGCTCATCGGCAGAGTCGCCGTGTACACCACCATGTTTAAATTCCAAGTGTCTATCATGGAATTGATCACGATCATAAAGGAGTAAATAAATTTGCCCGTTAGACCAAGAATGAGCGGCAATTTACGTCCACGTCGATCACTCCAGTTGCCATAGAACATTGCTAAGATAATAGGCACCACGTGTCCGGCAATATCGTTCCATTGATGGAATTCTGAGACAGTCATCTGCAAGATGGTCTTTTCTTAATAGAAACGTAATTAAAGAATGTGGAAATTCAATTGTCCCAGCGAAGTGCTATTTTGAATTGCGATAAAAAGATGGCTGAAATATCATGTGTTCGTAAAAACTGTCTAAGTACTTAAACATTTTATTTGATCTTCCGTTTTTAATATTAGTTTTTATCAAATAAAAACTAACTGTAAATATATGTTCGAATATATTCTCTTGCGTGCTACATGTGATACACATTTTCGTTGCGTGGGTATTTCATGCTAATATTCAGCTTGGCAACTATGTTTGCTTTGATAACATCTTAATTACATTTTCACTGATTATCTACACGTCAATAAATTTATAGTTGCAAATAAGATTCGTACAAATAGGTATTATATTGTCAGTTGAATATTTGCACTTGATAAGCAAGCACTTATTTCAAATAATCTCAAGCTATTAAATTATGCTCTAATAATTTAATGTAAGTGTGCTTTTTTTCTTTTTATGTCTCCTCTTTTTCACTATAAATATAGTACATAATGTTTTACCTGTACTTTGGTTTTGATTTCATCACTTAGATTTCTACAAATTTCTTCAGAATAATTGTGATTCACTCGACATGCTTTATATCTAAACAAATCTTGCTCTATGACCGATGTGAACATAAACGCCATCATGTACAGCCACATAGTTGGCTCTACTGATACATGTCTTATCCATCCGAAATATTTTTCATACATCCTGTTTTTATGGGAAAGTTCCATCTGTTGGGTCGCCTAGAAATTGCAAAATGAACATTGAAACATATAGGTACATAGTTCGAGGAACTTTGTTTTAATAGAAATAATTAATAAAAAATATGTATCACTTCTTAGAAGAAGATTACAATGGAAGAAGAGGACTGTTTACATTAATAAGTCGCTTCGGGATTCATACTAAAACGTTCATAAATGAGAATGGTTGGGTACTAATGGATTAATGTAGCGAATACATTTAAAAATATGATTTTTAAAATTTACGTTAATAAAAACAAGAAAATTATACATAATTATAATTGTGATAGCACGGCAAATTCAATTAGTCATTTATAAACATATTCTTCTTTTTCACAGACATTGAAGCGCATTCAATATCACACATCATGCAGCCTATATCACAAAGTATCTTGTGTAACAGTCTTGTATAATGTAGTCTTGTAATGTTATAATGTAATCACTGTTTCAATATCTCTTGCGTTATCTACATAATTTTGATCTTTCGAATTGTTACCAATGTCGTATCTAAGGAAGAAATACAAATAGTGCTCTTAATTTTAAATTCGTGACGTAGAAATAGATACAGTATATTCGAGATATTCATTAACGTGAACCATTATTGTTTAAATCTTAGAAGTAAACCTACGGAGGTGTCATTCACCGATTTTAATGAAACTTAGCATATTTGTAGAACTTTGAAAAATATTTGACAGTTTTTTTTATTGGCAATGGTCCACTCTAAACAGTGAAAACTACCCCTTAAAGGTAAGGGATAGATTTAATATATTATTATAGATGAAATAAGTTGAAAATTTTCAACAAATTATACAAATAGACATAAAAAAAATTTTTTTTTTTTTACTAAAATAAAGATAGAAAGGAATTAAATTTTTTTTTCTTTATCATAGAAATATTTTTAGAGAAAAAGCAGAATTGGATCAAACAATATTTTTATAATTTTAATTATAATGTTATACTAAATAATTACCTGAGTTTGGATATCGTTGTTAGTCGCTATAGCTTTGCCCTTCTTTTTTTTTATTAAAGAACTTCAATGTAAATGAACTTCTTACGTCTGAATTATCTTACGTATTCATCGTTCTTGGATCCGCTACTTTACTGTAAATATGCACAGGTTTTCGAAGCTGGCTGAGCTGAGTTCTTAACTTGTTCTAATAGGATATTTTATTTGTGTATGCTAGTATTAGGTCAATTTAATTATATCCATTATGGGTTATAAAATGTTAGGATACTAAAAAACATTTAAAAATTTCATATCTTTTTGCGATTGGATAATAATTTTATGTTATAATGAACATACATTCTTTCGTTCTGTTTCGCGTAGTAAAAAATTGCTAATTAAACTAAATATACCCTTTTAGATTTTATTATTAGAAGTTTGCAGTATTACAAATTTGCTTCAGTCAAAAAATAATTTTTGTTTTAATACAAATATTCCGGACAATATGTGATAAGTAGGGTGCGGACGTTCGGGCTCGATTACGGACTTCGCGCGGAGAACCGCTGGCGCGCGGCACGGTGGACTCAATGTAAACAAAGCGGGGAGAGTTTATTTCAGTAAGCGTCTCACTCGTGCGCAGCGGTTCTCAGCGCCGAGCCCGAACGTCCGAATCCTACTGATAAGTTAAGAAATAGTAAACTGTGAAATTAAAACCAGTAACACATAGGAAAACATGAAGCAATAAGACGTAAATAGTAAGCAAATCAGCTGATTACAGTAGAAAACGTAAGGCAATAACCTTACGTTCTCTACTATATGATAGTCAATTTGCTTACGTGTTTATTATTTAACGAGAGTAAATCACATTAAATAAATATACTTTAATATGTGCTTTAGATTTAAGAAACACTTTTTGTAACACAACCGTAAGACGTATCGTAAGAATTAGCCAATCAGAGAAAAAATTAGTTAAACATTTTTTATAATTTTTACTGTGATTGGCTAATTTTCTTACGGTACGTCTTATAGTTACTGTTATGGAAAATATATGCGACAGCTCTTTTTTTTTGTTTAGATTTTTTACGATATTTAAATATTATAGGGCCGTGAGAATTAAAATCAATGATATGAGAAACAATCCGTAACGGTCGAGGTGGATCTTAGGTGCTTCTATAATTGCGTGTGAATTTATATATTTGAGAATGGCGAATAAGAGTCAATCTAAATCTGATAATATATTCTAATATTCTATATTGCGAAGAATATCACGTAATGTTTGGCGTTTCGTCCCGGCTTCCACTACTGGACTCATCAGTAAGGTATTGTAGTGGAAGCCTACCTTAGACGCCGGTGTAAGTTATTAAATCGAGATTCTATATAAAGAGACACACGCGTGTCTCAGCACTTGCGAGAATTTGCGAATATCGATAGACCTCTGATGGCGGGTCGACGTAGTAATATTCTTCGCAATATTTATCCAAAGTGAGAAATAACGTTCTAATTATATATAGTCCCCCCAAATAATCTGATTTTTAAATGTCCCCTCTTCTTAATTGTTGCGCGCCGAAAGATTTTTCGGTCTTGCAACGCAACTCTAATAATCTGAAATATCCCCCCTCCTAAATATTTGCGCGCCGATGGATTTTCGGTCTTGAAACGCAATTAATCTAGAAACTGTAAATTTTTACTTAATAAACAGAATTGCAATGTATTATCCGCGTTATTACAACCTGCGGTTTTTGAAAACAAATAATTGAAGAAATAAAGGACTCTTTTTATAAACAATAATTAATACGTTGAGAATTGAGAAATTTATATAGAATCTCGATTTAATAACTTACACCGGCGTCTAAGGTAGGCTTCCACTACAATACCTTACTGATGAGTCCAGTAGTGGAAGCCGGGACGAAACGCCAAACATTACGTGATATTCTTCGCAATATAGAATATTAGAATATATTATCAGATTTAGATTGACTCTTATTCGCCATTCTCAACGTATTAATTATTGTTTTTAAAAAGAGTCCTTTATTTCTTCAATTATTTGTTTATATATTTGGTACGCAGATTTTTAGCTGCGCGCTGAATACTTTTCCAAACTTGAAAAGCAAGCTCTACCGCAGTAATATTACGAGTTAAATTGACTAACAATTTAACAATTTTTTTATGCTTTCTGCGCATCTTAGATCCGATCTTAATAATATTGAATGACATATTAAAATCTATAAATAATTAATTATTGCGAAAAATATTACCTCGGCCGGGAATCAAATCCAGATTTTTTGTATTCTGTGCAAGTGTCCTAAGCCTTTAGACCATCGAGGCTATTTTTGCTTACGTATATCAAGTCTGCAAAAAAAATTCGGCGCGCAGCTAAAAATCTGTATACGTAGTATATAAATTTACACGCAATTATAGAACCTAAGATCCAGCTTGAACGTTACGAATTGTTTCCTATATCATATTATATTGGTTCTTTTTATGTTATTATGTTAAAATTTATTATCTTTACGAGTTTATTATCTAGTTATTATCTAATTATTTCTCTTTCTCTTTTTTGTTTCTATATTTGAACAGTTTGATTTGTTGGTATGTATACACGCGCGTGCGCGTCAAACGAGAGTTAATCACATTAAGTAGATATAATGAGTAAGAAAAATGCAGCAAGATATTGCTATCACACTTACGAGAATTGGATGTTGCAACTTGAATGTTAAACATTTCATGTGTTGTATTACAGGATCTTTTACCGAGAGATATTGAAAGAGTGATATGATCTCTCGCTCCGGTTTATTCGATAATATAATTCAAAATTATTTATCATGTACTGAAACTGTCTGAAAATGGTAAATTAAACATTATTTAATCGCTTTTGCAAATTCACACATATAAACGTTACCCGAAATTGCGTTTTTAATTATTGATCGAGTAATAATGTATATGTATATAAAAGTACAAGATAACTTTGTAATTTTTAAAACTTTTTTAATTGTTTCAAGCAAATAAAATAAAAAATACCGATATTATCGATTTGATAATAAACTTGAGCAGTCTCTTATTTATTTCTTATCTTTCATTTTTTAAAACACATTAAATGAAATTGGAATTTATATTTAATAGTAATAGTCAATTTAATATTAAATATATATTACTAACTCCCTCTCTCTCTAATATTGTTTAGAATGATAAATGAAAAATTAACGCAAAGATATTAACGTTATTGCTTTTTTCGAGTTATGTAAAAAATTTATATTTGCATATTTAGTTAATCTAACACGAATAATTTAGATAAAAATAAATTCAGCTTTTTTCGATTAATTAGAACATTAGCACTGGATAATTTTGTTTCAAATATACAATAAAATATTTATATTTTTATATCAGCTCCAAATTACTTTATATATGAGGGGTTGAATTTTTTTAAATAAAATTAAATGCGTTATTGATTCGAAATGCTGCACTATTCTTTTTCACCTGAATTCCAACTGCTGTTTTCTTTTGTCGAAAATTTTTGTTGATAAATCATTTATTGACAAACCAGTGATATTTGAAACTCATACAATAGCTGTTCAAACAACAGTTAATTTTGTTTTATCCGCACACGTGGTTCACAGCTACTCCAACAGTACACGCGTAATGTCTTGCCACGTGAGTAACGTACGTATGTATACATACTCGCTACTACATTAAAACTGAAATCAGCTATGCGTGTCCGCTCGCTTAGAACGTTGAATTACCGTTTTCTTTTTACTGATTCGACAAGTATCTTATCGACGATTTTACGTAATCGGACCCTCGGACGAACAGCGTGTGGCGCGCACATCGTGAGGTTGCGTTATAACGCGGCTTATGCTTGTGTGTTGTTTTGTATTATCGAATAATGTCCAAAAATATATTTGTGAGCGAGTACATGGCACTTATTTCGAGCATTCGCTGCGATAGTCCATCGCCGACTGCTGTAACGGGTAACCTTCGTCAGGTCGGCCATCCTCTCGACAAAAACGTGTTCGGCGACATCTTGTGGAATAGAAAATGCAGGGAGATTTAAAACAATTTTTTCTGGCGATTGTAGATGGTTTCAAGGATGATTTTTTTTACTTTTGGTGATCTTATTCAACGATAGTTTTATTATTTTAACTTTAAATAGATACTTCTCTCTTTTGAAACGTTATAGTTTGTGGTAGAATCTACGTGCAGTTGGTATACGTGGAGTATTGATCGCTTTAGTGACCTCAGCCTCATCTCCTGTGAGAGATTTGAAAAAGTTGAGCATAACGTCACTGCTATTGGACGTTATTATTTTTTACTTTAGAGATTTTTTATTTTACAAAATTTTATGAAATTTGATGTATTTTTTCTAATTCTTTTATAAATAAATAAATAAATAAATTATGGGGGGGCTACATATGTGGTATATAAAAATTCACACATACTATATTATTAGCACTTTGATCCAGCTTTGACCGTTATAGACGTTTAATTCCTTCCTTGTTTGTAAATAAATAAATTTTATAGATAAATTTTTTAATAACTTAATTAGGTTTTTAAGAAGTTAAATATAAAGAATATGATATTATAAATCATGTATCATCATAAAACTTCTAGTTGTGTATTTTATTCAAAGATTAAATAGCTAGTAATTGAACATTAAAAAATTTCTTCTTCTCTTAATAAATGTATTATAATAATATATTTTAATAAATTATTTTAATAAAATAATACTTTGTTTTATTGAAGAATTGAAAGTCTACGTTTATCAACATTAGAAAATTTGTAGATATATTGCTGAACTATTCGACAATTCCTGTATTAAATTGCCGTTTTTAAGGAGACTATAGTGAAACCGTGAAAATACAGGTCAGGCCAGAAAACCGGTCTCTCTTTTTGCTGAGTAGATTAACTGGAAGTACTAAACTAGTTTCAAATATGTTTCGAAGCATCATCAATACTTAGAAACGTGCTGTCTCAATCCAATTTTTACGAGAACAATACAAAATGTATTTGATTCGATTTTTTATTTAATTAAAGAAATTTTTCTCAGTAAAATAAAAAATATAAAAATATGATATAAAAGTATATTAAACAAATGTAAATTATAAAATTATACATATAAATCTTGATCACAAATTAAGTAACTATTATTGTATTTATACATAAAAATAATAAAAGATTATTTCTAAGATAAAAGAGCGAATCATATTTTTTGAATATTTTATTACTTTGAAGAAATAATTTTATCGCAGAAAGTTAGAAGAGTGTAAAAATGGTAAACATATTGATTTTGTAAAAATTTATTTTGTATTATTAGTGTTAATCGCACGGCGTTCAATTATGGCTGTAAATATTGATGTGTCTTGTCAATAAATTTTAGGCCATCAAAATTACATAAACATTTTTCTCGAAGTGACAATAAATAATACATTTTTCGTCTTATCTCGTGTACTTTCGATTTCAGGTATTTTAGCTAGTAGCCTCTCATATCAATTCGTACCGTTACATATTGACCTTAAAATCAACGCAACACTTTATCGACATTTTATCGACAGATGAAGTTTCCTTGCTTTCCCATCGTAGGCAAATTGTAGGGAAATATGAAAGAGAAACATTTTCTGTCGAAGAAAATAATCGACTCTTATTCCAATGTCGATCAATACATGCCGATTCTTGTGAAATACTTTCTAATGCCATTTATACAATATCTCATTGTCAACGAGATATTTTTTCATTGACATATATTATATCTTAACTAATTTAATTGTTAAACATTTGAATTATTAAAAAAATTTGAAAAATAAGTTACCTCTCTGTTGTCTAGACACGTTTTAAAGAATTTTTAAGACTCGATTGTCGAATCTACAAAAATGGAGATCATACTACATCATAGATCTTTTTGACAGCTAATGGCTACCGCCGTTATCTGGGCGATTAATTTTTGTGATGCTAATGGGCTTCTAAGACTGTAAAACATATAGTTGTCAGACTTATGATGTAAGAACTTACACGATTACTCCGATATGGTGCGATGCACATCAGTAATTTCGAGTAAAAGTTAACATGAATATAATTTGTGCTTACGTCGATAGTTTGCGCGTAAAATTTATTATAGAATAATTTAATATAAAGATATATTTATTGATCTCAATACATAACGATCAAATATAATTTATGAAATATGTAAGAATGTTAATATTTTTATATTTCGTATTATTTAAATTTTGTTTCGATCAAAGTATAGACATCTGTTATTTATTTAAATAAATCTCATGTTATTATAATGCAACGATTTTTTAAGTTTATTATACATTTATTTTACTTCTCTAAAATAATTATTCAAGCATTTGTTAAATAAATTTTGGATAAAAGGAAACGTTTATTGATGGCAAAGAAAAATTGTCGATTTTGAGCATAATGACCCGGTACTCATTAATTAATACGCTTCGATCGAGATCTCTTTGCTTCAACAATTGACTAGTCGATCAACATTTAATATTAACTGGACCTGCCAGCGCTATTGACATTTTCACAAAAGCATAAATTCAACTTGTATCTTACATCTGCTTATAGAATTATCGTATTAATCGACGGTTATTCCAGTCGAGCGTTATGTTTACCGCAGCACATATAATAATTGGATTACGAAAATAAGCGTTTAATCCAATTCAATGTGATTTGATACATTGTTTTTCACACACGACATATTCGACGAATTTAGTTTAATAATGATGTGCTCATTAAACACGACATTTATAGTCACTCGATCAAGCTAATTGATTGGACTTGTCAAAATATCTTTCATCGTGCTCTATTATTTTCTCTATAATAAATATAGCTCTCTTTTTTTTTAACTTATCGTTCGGGAAGGACTGCCTAGGCGCAAAGGTCGATATGTATATTCTGATCGAGTAAACCAAGAGCTCGTGCCGCGCCAGTAGACGCACATCGACACAATTAATATCTATGTATACACTTTGGCCATGTTTGTACATATGCACACAAGCGCCCCATATACATACATACATATATTTACATGCTACGAATATATCTAATCTATAAGACATTGAATACTGCAGAATGTTTTCATTGAACGTCGTAACACTCGGGCGATCGATTGTTTCTACACATACACAAACATACTTTAGAGTCGCAACATGATAATTTGATAGTTTCGATACCACTTGAGGGAATCTGGTTTCTGACAGCATGAATAAGAAATAATTCATTATTCCCATTCCCATTGCGAATAAACTCAGAAATCATTTTCTGAATATCTAACCATTGAAATGTTGATTCACAGTAAAATTCCATTCATTCTGTTGAGAGATTCCATAAAGTATTTATCTTTTCATCTCTCTTGGTGTTTGCAGTTGCATCAGCTGCTTTGTCACGTTCGCTAGTCAAATCCGCATTGATTTCTCTTTGCTCTTTTTGGGGGAGAGAAGAGAGAAAATAGTTCGTTTCTTGCGTTTTCTTTTTGAGGAATTGTATTACGTTGAGGCTTTTATTTCTGCGTTTTGAATACCAAATTTCTTATTTTATCTACATTGCTTCGTGATATTTTTATGTAAAATTAGACTGGTTTTAACTAATTAAATTTACCGGCAAAATAATCCAGCAACGATTTTCAGTGTTCTTTGCAGTTCTTTTTACAAAGTAGTAATTTAATTAAATAGAATATCTTATTTGAAAGTTGTTTTAAAGGTTTCTAGAGTTGCTAGGATCGATGAGAAAAAAAATATTACTCGTCGGTTAGTCGACGCCACGGTAACATGATGCAATTTCATTAACTTT